CTCCTAAACCAAAACCCTTTAACCCTTGAGCGAAGCACAGATCCTCAGTGAAGTGTTCAACATTGCAAGCAGCTTCGGATCCAGTGCCTTCGAGCTGCGGGCGGGGCCGAAGCTGTGCATCCGAAAGTCAGAACAACTATCTATCCCAGTATCGTTACTTTAGTGCTCCAACGAGGCCGAACAGGGCAGTATATCAGTTCATGCACATCCTGCCTTGGCTGTCGTGAGGCGGGCGAGCTCCAGAGAGTTCCATGGCAGCTCCAAAAATGGAGTTCTCTCCTCAAGATGCTGCAGGCCCTGCACTCTCAATCGCCAACTCAAGCCGACCAAAAACGTAGGTCGAGTTCAAGGAGTACACTGAACGCACTTAAGCCAGGCTCCCAAACGGTTCATTGCGCTACATTAACATTCGGAGACCTTGGGGTGAAGACCCGTCCAGCCAAATGCTTCATGTCGGTTTATTGGTTCAGGGCTCGTTCCCAGTAGGGATAATGGGCGCCCAGTCCGCATTCACGTGTTGCGCGTCTGATCGCGTCTGGAGACTTGTTCGATATATTGAAGGCCTTGAAGCCTGAACCTGAAGTGGGAGTGTTCCAGTGCATCGGCCTCCCTCCCCTGAAGCGGTCCTTCTACTCACCGGGATGAGGGTTACGAAAAGGAATCCAGCTTGGGGATCTGAAAATGTAACCGAGACGACCCCCATCCCTAAACCCTAAACCCCAAATCGTTCTATCTCAGTAACCAGAGTGTTGCAGGGAAGCTGGCAAGTTTGGTAGCTTCGCAGTCACCAGACTGCAACTCCAAGACTAGACTCGCATGTTGCGTCGCCTCAAGTTGCTAATGGTCGGCCTTCTACCCCACCGAAACCTGCATGCCTGCATCCTAACTGGTCCTAACCCCAAGCCCTAAGCCACTACAGCAGTACACTACGCTGAGTCCCTTACAGTAAACCCCGAGATATCGAGCCAGGTTCACGCGAGAACGATTTGCCAGGAGGCTCTTCGTGATGACCGGGCAGTTGAGCTTATCCTGCAAGAAGGCCAATCCAAGTCACGCTCGCCAGCTTCACACAGGGCTCTGGCATCGGGTTTAGAGTGAGTGCCCAGGATTTCGAGGAGTGTTTACGGTTGAAGTCTCCTGCATCGGGGCCGCGTTACGCGCCTTCATTGCATATCAGAGAGGCGGCCGACGATTCCTGAAAGAGCTGTGCGATTTTTACGTGGAGTCCGGCACCTTGGCTGCAACGCCACGCTGGAGAGGCAGCCTGGTCCTTGCCGAAAGATTAGACTTGCTTTTGAGCTGTGTAGCCTGAGATGCTAGTGTTGTTTCCTTGCCCATGGTTTCAGACTCGACGATGTCTGTAGAGGTCGCCGATTTTGTGAAACACTGATGCTGCTCTGAACAGAAACAGTGTCCGTGAATCGAGATTAAAACAGCAAGGATTCGGCGGCTTTTGCTGAAATGGGGTTCTGGGCGTCAGGGCCGGGTTTAGCACAGCTTGGCCCTGGGCAGCTGTATTTGTCCTTCCTCTGAGGAGATTCTCGGAAGGCTCTCGCTGTTCTTGGAAGGAAAGGATGGGACTCGGACACAGGCCACGAGGACTGACCGGATCACATGCCTGAAATCAGGAAGATCAGCCCCGGATTGGGGTTTTCTTACTTCCTGAAATCTGGTCAGTCTACTTGGAGGATCATAGGACTTAGCAAGTAAGGTTATAAGTACCTCAATTGGGGTTATTAGTAGTTATAAGTACAGTTACCCAAATAATTACTTTAGTTACTAAGTCCCATGATCCTTTAACTAGCCTAGCTTACTTCCACAGCCAGCAGGAAGAACTCTTGTACCACTTCGCTGTTCAGCTCTTCTGTGACTAGGTGTGTGCTCGTTCAAACACAAGAGGCATGCTTAACGTGTTTTCCCGTTTTGTTTGACCGTCAGGACAGCCTGGCGAATTTCTTCACTCTGTTGCAAGGCGCTCACGAATCTGTGTTTAAGTGCAGAATGGATGTGAGCTACAGCAAACGTTACAACATGACCCTTGCTGGCGTAGCTCGCAAGAGAGGAAGTACCAGTATTCCTTGCACTTTCTGGGGTTTGCATGGAGCCAGGCTTGTACGCTTGTGGCCCAGGGCCTTCCTTCAGCTGGAGGTTTGACACTAGTCTTGGACTATGCATAAAGTCGTTTTTCCTTCCAAGGCATCGTCAAGATACTGTAGCCCCCTGCCTTGCTGTGCAGCATGCAGTATATTGTAGTACAGTTTACTATAGTACATGGTCGCGGATTTTAGTGTATTCTGGTACATTTGTAGCCTTCTTGCTGCAGGCCAGCGGAAGAAGTTCTGGGAACAATGCGACACATGCCTCCAGCGTGCCGACAAGACGATGCTTTCCGAATTTCAGGAACGATGCAGAGAATGGATTGCGAAATTCACGAAGGACTGGGCGAGCACATGGATTACGGAATATACCCTGTGGATGGTGCTGCGATTACACTGCGTGGCCGACTACAGTGGCACCATTGGGCTCACCTTTCACCATGTGCTGATGGGGCCGGATTCGTACTTCCGAGGTGCATGAGAGATCGTGTGCAGGAGCAGGATTAGGATCGTAGGGTTGGGTCATGTGGGGGCAAAATCGAGACCTGCAGTTGATCTTGGGGCATAGGACTAACGAGCTATTGCTTGCGGTTCTTCCTCAGCAACCTGGCGAGGTCACAGCAATGATTTCCGAGAGGTGGCAGGAGCTCCCTTCTGGAGGTACTTGGCAGGTCCGACGTCCGCATCTTCCGCTAGATCAAACTGCGAAGTCACCACATCAGAACCGGATTTCACTGAAATATAACAAACAGGACGATGCAATTCCCAAAACAGCTCTTCTGTCACATCATAGCAAATATAGTTGCCGACCGTTCCTAGCTGCCCTTTGTCAGACCTCTTCGGGAACGATGTCGACACCGTTGCCCGTGAAATCCTCCGCAACAGAGGCTCGGGCTGTAAGTCTCGACACATCGGTGTGTAGTGTTCTCCGCGAGTCTGTGTGATGAGTCGTGAGTTATTTCTATGCAAGCATGTTCCTTGAAGACTCTGCTGATGCGTTTTAGGCATGAGTTTTGGCCACAGCGGTTCGTTCGGCAAGTGCTGTCAGCTGCTATGGGCCCAGCACGCCGAACCCGAATGTTTGGGGTGCTGAGTTTGGCTTGCTGCTTGGTTGTGGAGTTTCTCCACATTGCCACAAAGTCACAGGCGCAATGTGTAATTTGAGAGCTACCCAAGTCCAGAGAAACATCTTAAGAACTACATCGCCGGGCCGAAAGTTTCGACCCACTTGTGCATCATCTTACATACAAGCTCTTGCGGAGTAGCGGAGTACCTCAAAGTGCCGTTTACCCTACGCAGGCCAGCGGAGTACTTACTACGCCGTTTTAAAAATATAATACTTTTTAGCTCCGGCGGAGGCCCCAAGGCTCACTTGTGTTAGGAGTCTATGGGGAAGAGGGTGGAGGCCCATGTGTTGTAAAGCATGTTGAGGCCTGTGGGTCGAACTATCGGCCCGGCGCAGTAAGAACCCGGGGCAGGTGCACAATGGCGACCTCATCTGAGAGACCTTGTTGAAGCGCAAGTGAGTGATCGTCCCGAAGTTGCGCTGCCCCTCATTGAGGGACTTGGCAGCCTGGTTGATCTAGCGAATGGTTTTGCAGCGTCGAAACAGCATTCGTGCTGCACTATAAGTTCTACCTGCGATCATACATCCTTGAAGCACAAAAGCAATCTAGACCGAAGGGCCAATCATGCAAGAAGCTCGGATTTTTCCAACGACCTCGGGACTTGCTTCGCCAGAGCTGGACTTAGGTGAAGCGTGGAAGCATCTGCAGTCGGCCAGCACGCGAGACAAAGACCCGGAGGAAGAGCCGCGCAGACCTTGAATGCCCTAGGCTTGAGCACCGTTCTGCAGCCTCGGCTAAAATCTCGAAGTCCTTCAGGTCAGGATTTTCAGCTTCATCTTGCTCTGGTGCTATCGTGACATGTACATGTAAAGGAGGGACCAGGGAGTAGGTATGAGGAGTTGCAACAGCGGCAACCACGGTGTGGTCTTCTCGCTGCACGACGCCCTTCACCTGTCTGCTCGAAGGAGACAGACAAGCGTCTGGACTTGGCGGAAGACTATATCACGGATCTTTTAACGTACCTGCGCGCCGGTGGAAAACGTACAGGTCTCGTCTTTCAGGCCAGGCATGGCATGGTAATTATTGGGTTCATCATCTTCAGTTGCGACTAGCATGAGCCAGTGTTCATATAGGGTCCCTTCATGCGAGCAGCTTCCACATGCAAACATCTTTGCAGGTTGCGAGTTTGCTTGCAGCAAGAAAGTGGGACTGGGACCCGCGGCACGAGGACCAGACGACGAGAAAATGTAGTGGGCGGAGGCATCATTGACTTTAGTGGCTTATGTAAGGTTTTCTTAGACGGGTCTCAATCCCTAAGGGTCCATGTACCCATATAGAGATACATGAGCCCCAAAGTAGCTATATAGGGACTACATTACGGCATACTATATGAGTACAGGACCTTAATATAGTACCCTAAATAGTAGGATCCTTATTATAAGGAGCCCAAAATAAGGTACCCCCTATTTCGGAAGCTCCCAGCTGTTTCAAAGTTTCAAAGTGCCGTTCCGAAGACCAGCGAGGCGAGCACAGCCATCTGCACGGCAAGCGCTTCACTCATTTCTGCTCGTTCTCCAGTGAGTCTAACTTAGTAGCTGAGTGGATACACTTTACACTTTTTGGGATAATTATACCCACTATAAAACTAAAAGTGTACATTTTTTGGGACTTATGAACTCAGCAACTAAGCCAATGACGCTAGTGATGTTGTTCACCCAATGTGACTACCGGGTTGCGGTCTTCTGCAGCACTGTTCACAAGATGGTTTCGTAGTCAGGACATCCTGCTGAAGTTCTTCCAGCTTTGGCAAGAAGGTCACGAAGCTGTCTCAAGACCAATGCATGCAGGCTAGCTCTTATGACATACTGTGCAGTGGATCTGGCCAAACATCCGGCCGCATGATGCATGAACCATGGCCATTCCGTGTGCATGGCCGAGAATCGCATTTGCAGTCCTTCAAGGAGGGTGTTTCTCTTCCATCTCCCACAACAGGGCCTCGGAAATCTGAAGCGGTCAAGGAACGCAAGAAATGTGAAGTTGAGCTAGACTTGGCTTTTCCTTACCTGTTCGGCAGCAGCTTCCAGCCATGCGAGTCTGACAGAGCTTGAATGTTAGACATGCAGTGCAATCCCTGCTTGCTGCAGGCCAGCAGACGAGCTTCTGGGAAGGATGCGCTCGCTTTCTCCGTGGAGATGATAAGACTCTACTTGACAAGTTTCGGGAGCGATGCAAAGAGCAACTCGAGGAATGCCTGAAGCGAAGGGCAAAGTCTAAGGCAGGCCCCAGGAGAGACACACTGCGGGTGGTGCTGCGGTTGCACTGTGTGGTCTACTACAACCCCAGAAACATTGCGGACAGCTTTCACTCCCTGTTGGCGGACCGGCGCTTTCACTCCCTGTTGACGGACCCGAGCGTCCCAGGCACGTGAGAACGAGTTGCGAGAACAGGATGTAGGGCCATGGTCGTCTCGCGAATTTGTGCTTTCCCGAACTGTAGCAAGTGTTCGGGGACATGTTCTTAGCGAGCCGTTGCTTAGTGTTTCTTTTGTTCTTCCTCAGCAAGTCGGCGAGGTCACAGCGAGCTCTTCCGGCGCATAGGAGGGGACCCCTTGTGGCAGTACTTTGCAGGCCAGACTTTTGCACTCAAAGCTTTGATAGCGGTTGTGCTGCTCACATTCAGCGAAGTGACCGCTTTGTGTTTTCTGGACCCTAAGCTCCAAAACGTGGGCTCTCCTTGCGGGCCCATGGCCGTGTGTAAGCTGAAAGCTTCCAGTAGGTCCCACTCCACAGTTGAAGATGTCTTGTTATTGTAAGTAATGTTTTTTATTGTTAGTTTTGTTCTCATTTTGTTCTTATTTCTTTTGTCATTTTTGATTGTTATCATAATTATCATTATTATCATTACTATCATAATTATCGTTATTATGATTATTATCACTGTTATCACTCTTGTCATGACTATCATTGTTATCATTTTCATTAACATTGTTATTTCTATTTTTGGTGCATCAAGTCGTCAGACTCCTTGCAACAAGTCTCGTCCCGGCAGCCTGAAACCCGGCTCTCAGCAATCTTCGTGCTTGGCTGCCCCATTCTGCAGACCTCTTCGGCAATGACGTCGAAAAAAATGTTGCCAGCGAGGTGCTCGGCAAAGGAGGCTCGGAGCACAAGTCAAGAATCCGCAGTGCTTGGTCTGCGCCCGCATTTCGGGCTGAAGTATCATGGTTTTTGTCCCGCAAGTGCGTCTGTTGCAGATATTCCTTTCGCCACAGTGTTGGTGCATCCGAAGCCTTCTACACGAGCCCTCCGAATTCGCGGGCTGTCACAAGTTCAGGCTGCCAAGTCAACTGCCCACAGTTCCAGCATGCATGTCGCAACGGGGCCCTCAACGTCAACATGGTGCAGGTGCAGAATGGCGACCACATTTGCAAGATCTTGTTGACGAGCGTGTTGCCCGATATCCACGGGTTGCCTTGCCGCTTCTTGACGCGCTTGGCAGCCTGGTTGAAGCAGTCGGGACAAACTCCTCCTAATGGCCAAAGTAATTACCTATTTTGGGGTTCCTTGTTCTAGGTATGGTATAATGGGCCCCAAAACCCTATTCTAATTATTAAGGCCCCTATATAAAGCACCAATCTTCAAGGCCAGAGGGGCTGTTTTTCGGACTGAGGTCGAGCTTGGGAGCATCAGCTGTGCAGCGACACCGACATGGACTCAGAGGACAAGGCTGCGGGTAATTCATATAGGGGCTTTTATAATTAGAATAGGGTTCCCTTTAAAGGGGTCTATAAGGGCTACTACAAGGGCTCAATAAGGGTACTGCAGTATAGGGGCCTTAATAATTGTAATAGGGCCGGGGGTATATCATACTATAAGTATAATAAGGAAAACGCCCCTCCATTATGCTCTTCAAAGTCATGACTTTCATTTCTTCTCTGTTGCGTGTTTCATACAGTGCCGGGCAAGGACCAGGGTCCCGATGTGCATCGCACCTAGCTCCGATTTCCCTGTTGAACAGCAGTTGTTGACTGGCAGAAGCGCATTCAGCCCTCTAAACCCCTCTGCCCTAAACCCTAAAGCACTCTCGGCCCTTTCGGTAGCGTGCGTGAGACAGCAGTTGATTCAGACGTTTCTCAAGTATCTCTCAACGTACCTGGATGCTGGTGGAAGTGAGAGGGATCTCGGCGAGGCCGGGCAGGGAAGATATCAAAACCCTACTCAAAAATTTAAAAAACCCCTACATTATGGTACCCTTATAGATCCCTTATAGTAACCCTTATATAGGCCTGTTCTAATTATTAAGGCCCCTATCGCCCAGGCTCAGGGTTACAGCTTTGAGTCCCAGACCGTTGCGTTTAGGTTAGGACCATCCATTCGGATCAGCCTACTTGGAGGTTCAGGGGTAGTTATAAATTAGTATAGTTAACCTACTTATAACTAGCCATGAACCTCCAAGCAGGCATTAAGGGGCAGTCGCATTCCAAAATTAGAATCCCAGCGCCTGGTACTCTACTGGGACCAGAGTGCGTCGCAAGGTTTATGTAATCACGCTGCATGTGTGCGTAACTTTAAAGGGACATCCCGAACCCCCGCACCCGCAGTCCGGAACATATCAAGCGGCAGATAATGAAAGCAGCAGCACGATGTTGATAGGTAGTGACAGAACTGGCAATCATCGGTCATCGGTATCGTCGCCACCATCTTGACAAAGGAGAGAGTTCGAATCAAAAACACCGGGCGAAGTAACAATCATGCAGGTAGTAAAAAAGTCATAATAACACGAAGTGTGACAATATCCGTGCCAATTGTGGCCATAGGGGTACTCGCAGTATTTGTCCTCGTCGGTGTAGTCGTTGTCGATGTAATCGTCGTCCATGCACCAGCTGTCGTCGTCCACGTATTCGTACGAGAAGACGTTGCAATGGAAGCAGCACTAGAGTGGCAGTGGCAATAGTAGCAGCAGTAGAAGAAGAAGAAGTAGTAGTAGTCGTCGTCGTCGTCGTCGCCGCACTAGTTTTTTCTAGTAGTAGCGGTAGCCGTAGTAGTCGTCGCAGTCGTCGTAGTAGATTTTCGTAGCAGCAGTTGTAGCAGCAGGAATAAGAGCTAGCCATAATCCAAGCGAGCAACCTTATGATCGTGACCATGGAGACAATCCACTCATCGTGCAGCATTGATGCCTTCAGCCACCACGCAATAAAGCCCAATGCACCCAATTATTGAGAACACCGCCTTACAAAAACCTAAAGCAAGGAGAACTGAACTCGGGAAACGCAAAGTCTAATGTAGGGGCCTTAATGATTAGAATAGGGTCCCGGGGGTTTCCTTATTATGAACATTTTTTAATATACCCCCAAATCCTTTTCTATTTTCTGAAGGCTCCTATATTAAACCTGCCAGGTGATGAAAGCGACCCCGAGAGTTCAATCCGATCCTCGCACGACGGAGGCAAGGTTTAGGGTTTAGGGTTATTGGGTTTGGGTTGAGAGACTGAGTCAAGCAAGAAACGGAGAAGAACAGAGGAAACAATGGTCTGCATTTTACCATGGTAAGTTACAGTAAGCTGCTTAGTGACAAGAGTCTAGAGTCTTGGCCTAGGCTGGAGTGCGAGCATTCAAGGGTTTGGCTGGTGCTTGAGGCTGAGGAATCTAACTTCAGGATTTGGTGAGCAGTGTTAGGATTCAGGATCACTGCGAGAGAGCTCAACCCTGTGCCCTAGACTCTGACTCTGAAATGCTTCCAGGGCTTCGTCCTTAGTCCCTTTAAATGTGTGTGACCCGGTATGTGCAGTTCACGATGCACTGAGAAAGCTTTAAGCATGGCCTGGCTCAGCCCAGCAGTGAAAAACTAAGCCAGAAGCACCGGTGGCGACGGCACTCCCTGACCCGACCGCTGAGCACCCTTCATGGTTTGGGAGAGCTTTCAAACTCTCAGCCTCGTTGTGCCAGGAGCTGCAGAGGCGCGCAAGGGCCCAGCACAAGGTCGGCCGCTGTGGAAATTGGCCCTTCAGGGTTTCAGGCCTTGGATTTCAGGGTTTGGGGTTTGGAGCTTAGGGCTTTGGCTTACTGGCGCTTTCGGCTGCAGGTTCATCGGTTTAAGTTGCGTGGGTTCTGGCGCAGCGCTAGACTCGCCTCGTGGGACTGTACTTCAGACAAGTTTGAAGCTTGGTGATTCCGATCGGTTGATATTGGCGATCGCGCCTACAGAGTTTCAAAGTGGGAGCTTCCAGATGCATGCTTGTTGGACGTTGTTGGTTTTGGAGGGTTTAGGCCGAGTCGGATGAGCGGCCGTGCTCCAGTCGTCTGAGCGAGAGAGGGGAGGAACAATGCCGATGGACAAGGCGACGCAACGCCTGTATGCATACACGTACGTCTGTGCGCAGATATGGGCATACACTGGCTTGCACGTCGATCGGGGCAGGGAGGTATCTCTGACACTATCGTGCAGTACATTCAATTGAATATAATGTGGTGCAGAGGGCAAATTAGAACATATACATACCGTGGATGAATATTAATGTATATACATACATATATGCACACATATTATGGATAGGTAGACAGGTAGACGATAGATAGATAGATAGATAGACAAGTAGGAGAGAGAGATAGATATAGAGAGAGAGTGAGAGAGAGAGAGAGAGAGAGAGAGATATTGAAAGAGAGGTAGATGGGGAGACACAGGAAGGTAGGAAAATAGATGGGCGGGCAGAAGATAGATCGATCGATACAAATTTAGATCGATAGATACACAAATGGATAAGTAGATACCATGTAACTAGTCTAACATGATACCGCAAGACACTTGCACAGATCTGTTGAGTGATGGACAGACCGATGCACAGGTGGCTTTAAGAGAACCCTTTATAGACTCCTTTAAGGGAACCCTTACAGAATCCTTTCATGGAACCCTTGATAGACTAACGGAGCCCCTTACAGAATCCTGCCTGGCCCTAAACCCTAAACCCTCAGCCTTAAACCCTAAACCCCTAAACCCTAAGCCCTAAACCATAGACTCCTTTCACGGAACCCTTTACAGAATCCTGCCTGGCTTGCAGGCGCCGAGACCTGGCCTTGGTTCAAGGCTTTCGGACTCGCGTGACATCGATCTGGGAGTTTCCGAAGACTAGGGGTACCCTTAAAGGGATCCTTTAAGGGTTCCTGTAAGGGTTACTTAAAGGGATCTATATGGGTTCTAAACAGGGTTTAGAGTTTAGAGTTTCCGACACTGGAGGGTGCCCTTAAAGGGATCCTTTCAAGGGATACTAGAACGGTAAAATAGGGGTTCCTTTAAAGAGCTCTATAAGGTTTTCGGGTGTCCGACAAAAGGGGGATACCTTAATTATTTTGGGGCCCTTTTACCTTTTAATCAGGATCCTACGACTTACAGTACTATATTAGGGTTCCTTTTCTCGGAAACTCCCAATCTGGGTTCTTGTTGAGGGATTTCTTTTAAGATACCAGAGGAGGGATCTATAGTAAAAAATATGGTTTCCTCACTGTGGTATGTAGTGGTACCTTAAAAGAAAAGGCCTGAACAGGAGCCCTACGATTTCTGGATGTGATGTCACCTGAACAGCAGCCCAGAGAGCTCAACGCTCAGGGTTTAGGGTTTAGGGCTCCTTCAGGTTCATAGCTGAATTGTAGTATCCTTAAGGGAGGGGGGTCCAAGGGGGGTATATAGCCTAGTGATCCCTAATTCTCCCTAGTACTCCCTAGGGTTCCCTTACAGTCCCGTAAGGATTCCTTATACCCTCCCCCCTTGAACCACCCTCCCTTCAGGATCCTATAGCTGAATGAAGCCATAGAGTTTCGTTCTTTGCTTGAAGAACATGAATTGAGGGGCCGTGAGCTTTCTGGGAGAACCATATCTCTAGACCTTTTCCATGGCTGGTGGCAGATGCAACCTGCATGTCTGGAACATCAAAGCTTCCAGTGTGATGCGTTGCATTTCGCCGCATGTGCAGCTGTCCATACCTTGGGTACGGCCCCCACTCAGTAATAGTTGATAGATATAGTAGGACCTGAATAGTAGCCCTGTTATAGACTCTTACTGTATGGGGGCCGTAGCCAGTCTATACCTCCGTTTTTTCTTGCCAGGTTTGCCTTGATTATGCAGAAACTAAGGGTGGGTTTAAGGTTTAGGGCTCGGGGAGTTTAGGGTTTGGGGTTTAGGGCTTAGGGAGTTTAGGGTTCATAAAATAAGGGGTAAGTAGGTAGCCTTCATCTTTTGAATTTCTCATGACCCTGGCAAAGCGGAAAAGGCGGCAAATGATTTGAGATCGTCTGGGCGGCAAGCTCGCTCCAGAATCTTTAACTCCGCGTTCTCTCAGAGATTTCGAAAGTTAGCTTTCGGTCGGAACCGGCATAACCTGTGAAGCACTGATGCTGGGGCTTTCATCCTAGAGCCCAACTTCCATTTAGGAATCCCCACCACTTCAACTTACTCGACTACGGGCGCAACCTGACCTCGGCATTTGTGCCAGCATGCCGCAGCTTTAAATGAATTGAAAATCATGATTGAACTCTGGTAATTTCTACAACTGGGCGGCCCCCCAATACTTTTGGCAGATAACAGATACCCGAAGAGACTCGCGGCAATGTGGTAGGTATGTGACCATGGACAGCTGTGGAGTGCGTAAAATGTAAAAGATCCGTGGAATGTGCTGCTTGGCCGATGGCAACAGCAGATTCTCCCCGAATGCCTGGCAAAGACTGCTCCCTTCGCTCTTGTTCCGTTCTGCTTCATGGTGCTTGCGTCCGTTTGGGGTATGCTATACAAGTCTAGCTTGCATTGGAGTTGAAAGACTCTGGGGATTATTCTAGAGCTGCACGTGGCCTTGCTGCCACGCCTCTTTCCGAAATCCGTGGCGCCATCTGCTCAGAAGCACAACGCGCCGCTGTTGCATTGCTGCCCCGAGCTCCGGCATCTGCTCGCCATGCCATATAAACCGAGGGTACGAGCGGCTTTACCAGCGATGAGGAGATGCAGAGTTGCTGGGCCGCCAGTGGAAAGCTTTCTTAAAAGTTGTGGCTTGCGCAATGACGGTGGCAGTGAGTTTTTTTAAAAGAAGTCGAAGCAAGGTGCAAGGAACCTCATACCGGCCAACTCAGTCGATGGAGCGAGGGCTGCAAACTCACATGCTCGGATGTGCTGGGGTGCAGCAGCTATGTTGGCTACAGCCCCTCTGTCTTGGATGGAACTGTTTCGGGTTGGGTGGAAAATGTGTGTGTGTGTGTGTGTGTGTGTGTTTGTGTTTGTGTTTGTGTTTGTGTTGTGTGTGTGCGTGTGCGACATCTCATTGTCTCATTGCACCTTTGTACGAAGATGGATTTCGAGAGCGCTGCTTCGGACACGAAAGGCAGCGACTGAGTGCACGTGCTTTTCGCCCTCTCTCTCTCTGTCCCGTGCCATTCTCTCCCTCCCTCTCCCTCAACGCGACACGACATGAGTTGCGACAGACAGCGACACGAGGCTCGACACCTCACACGACACGAAACACATGAGACAGGAAGCAGACACGAATCACCATGAGATACATAAAGATGGCATGACACGACACACGACACCGCGACAAGAGATACGCATCTGGATATGCTTGTTTTGGCTATCAGCAGGTTAACGATTTCAAGAACAATTATCAAACAAAGGCAGAGGGCAGTCATATCGCATAAGCATGCATCTGTATACAGATAGAGAAAATTACCAATCCTAGTAAAAAAACATCAATATCGATGTAGACAGATGGATAAATAGGTAGATCGATAGGTAGATAGATATGCACACATAGCAGGCTTATAGGAATATGAGCATAAAAGCAAGCATCGATACACATACTACAGCCGTACATGTCCATAAGAATATCAACATGAATATGTATGTGTGTGTGTGTCCGTATATCAATAAGTCTACACAAAGATGTGAAAAATACATGTGTTTATCAATGGGAAGGGACACCGACTGTACGGTCAAGGCTCAGCAGTTGACGTCAACGTTTAGCTGTCCGAGGGCCTGCTTGAAAGAGCAGGTAACTTTCAAAACTCCCAGCTCTGAGACCTTCTAACCCAGACCCTCGGGAGGATCTAGAAAGTAGATCCCCTAATATGGGGCCCTATACTACTAAGGATACTTTAAAGGAACATTGAGGGATCTACTTTTTGGATCCTCCCGGGGGTCTGGGAAGCTCTTCACCCTTACATGCTTGCAGAGTGCTGAACCTGAGCCTATAACCGTCCTGCCCTGCAATGAGCCCAAGTTTTAGACTTGGATACCCAGGCTTCGTCTGAAACGCGGCTGATAGCCCTTTAAGCGCCCCCTTGTAGCTCTGGAGTTTCCTTTGAAGGGATCCATAAGGGCTCTTTAAAGGATCTATACTCAGACCCCCGGGGAGGATCCAAAAAGTAGATACTTTAAAGTACCCTTAGTATAGGGCCCAGCAGCCCTTCTGTCTGTTTGTTGCACAGTTTCTGTCTGGACACGAGTCGCAGGCCAAGCAAACAGTATTTGAGAGTCTTCTGCTCTCTGCTCCGGCGCACCTTTTTGTGCAAATCTCTTGGGAAAGAAGTCTTCGCCAGGCCCTGGTGCCCGCCCTCAAGGGCCTCACGGCACTGAAGGTCCTCGATCTTGAGTGCAACCAGCTACCGGCCGAGGCGATCAAGGTCCGCCTGCCTTTCGAGCCTGAGCTTCGGTGGAGTGCTGCTTGGGGCAGGTGGTGGAGGATGCTCTACGTGAGCTTCGAGAACTGAAGGAATTACGCTTGTAGATCGAGGATTCGAAGTGTGTCTCTTTCCTGTACGAATACACCAGATGCAACCTGACCATGCATCATGCCGACAAAGTTTCGACATAGATACTTGGCCTTAGCCAGAGCCTGCGTACGTCTGACCGTCGGGCCCCAGAAGACGACATGCTCAAAACATCCCGGGTGCTCACGCTTTTGCTTGACACTGTGTGGCTGGCGGTTGGGGTTTAGGGTGTAGGATAGCACTTGAGGGTGAAGGGTCTAGGGTGCTGTAAGCTCTGCAGTCCATCGCAGCATGAGGCTGAAGCGAGATGCAGGGTTATGGACTTGGTAGGCATATCAGGTTTCGGTTTCGGGGGTGTCGTTTGTGCTTGGAAGGCTATCTTGGCCTATGATGAAATGCTTGCACTTTTGGGGGGTACCAAGTACCCAATCAAGGCATCAGCGGTGCCGGCGGTGCGCCTGTCCTTGTAGGCGTTCCAGCCATCCCGCGCCAGCATCATGCTATCTGGGTCTACGCAACAGCTGCTATGCTGAAGTATCAAAGCATGGTGTAGTATAATGTAGCATAGTATAGTATAATATAATGTAACATGGTATAATTCAGTATATTACTGTATAATATGGTATGGTATAGCAAAATATGGTATAATACGGTATAGTATTGTATAATATAGTATAATGTAGTATAATATGGTACAGTATGGTTTAATCTAGTATAATCTGGTATAGTATATATATATATATATATATGTGTATATACAGATTATATATAGTATAGTATAAAATGGTACAATATGGCACAATACAGTATAATATAGTTCAATACAGTATAACGTAGTATGATATGGTATACTACTGTTATAATATTACAGAATATAACGATGCTCAGTCTCAGTCGACACTTTCAGGTTCTTGCAGCCTATTACGTGCTTCCAAGCTTTAGAATTCGAGCTCGAGGATTGTTGGTCCTCGGGTAAGTTGGCATTGGCTGTGTCCTACAGCATCGGCATTCAGATTTCACGTCTTCGGGCTCATACATTTGTGTTGTCTGGTCGCATGGACAGATCGTTGAAAGCATCGAGCTTGCGTGAAAGCTTCTGCGGCTCACAGTCGTTGCGAGTTGCTGTGGGGCATGGCAGTCTAGCCTACCGCTATGACAACGTTCGCTACAACAGCTTCCACGTGAGGATGCCTTCATCAACACGACGGTTTGAAGTTAAGCATCTTTGCAATCAAGTCCTTTGGATGGTCGTGCTTTGATTCATTCGTGCTGAAGTATGGCAGCTAGCCCCGTGTTTCCAACAGGCACGGGCCGCTTGCGAAATCATGTGTCCAGAGCTGTGTCCTGAACTGCTGAACTTTTGTGGCATTCATGGGTGGGGCAGGGTCCAGCATGCAAGTTGCAGATTGGAGTCGAAGAGCATGCGTTGGTTGCGACCGGTAACACGGTATTCCGGTGTTCGTTGTTGCAATCTTGCAGCTGGATCTTCAATGTTGCTTCTTGGCAGAGAAAGCAATGTAGAGCCGTAGCATCCTTTTGGGAGTCTAAGAGGATCTTGGAGCCCTGGCGGTTTCTTTCTGTGTTGGAGGTCGATGCTCAGCGTGGGGCTCACATGACACGTGCAAGGTGAGCTCAACGATGTCGAAAGTCTGGACCGGATCAACGAGCGGTTCGCCGAACTGGAGGCCATGATGTGGGTTGCTGTGACCAAGATTGGGCGTGTCGGCTTTGGGCAGCCGTTGCCTTGTGCACAAAAGCAATAATCGCCCCTAATGCATTGACCCGCTCTTTCCATGCTTGCTCGCTCACTCGCTTGTCTCTAACGGGTATGATGACGACAGGCGAGCGCTATTCCACTTCTTGATACAGGGTCCCATGGTGACCGATGCACTTTGCACAATACACATGCCATGTGCGTGCTTCGACATAGATCCTGTAAGGGACGAAGCCAATCTGGTCCAGGGTCCCCTGTGGGTGACGATGGACTCGGCTGACCCACCGGCAGAGCCGGCGGGGGAGTGCCACTGCAGCGCCGACACGTGGCCTGGGCTTGACCAGGACTAAGGTTTAAGGTATCATTCCTTTAGGGGTTTTAGGGTTTAGGGTTTAGGGGTCTTAGGGGTTTAGGGTTTAGGGGTCGTGGGGGTTTACAGGGATTAGGGTTTAAGGGTTTAGGGGTTTAGGGTTTAGGGCTAGGGTTTAGTGCTTCCAGAATCTCGATATCGACGTTCGCAGGGTCACGTTCTTCGGTGGATGTGGACTCCGATTCTTGTGCGTTTTTGTATGTGCGCACGGGAACGTCGTGTAGACAACGTGTTCATTTGTTAATCGCAGATTTAAGGTATTCTAGGTATGGTAGATTGACGCAGTTTGGCATGCCCCTGTATTTGCTTTTGATGTGGGTCTGATCGAAAGCCTTTTGGAAAGTCTCGTCCTCTTCGATCATCAGCAATCACCACAGGCTTCGGGTCTTTTCGCAGGATGCTTAGGAGTGCTCACGTGGTGTTGGCGGAAGCATGCCCGCAAGAGGTACTTGTAGAGTTTTGTTTATCTACCTACGTATGCACCTGTCTAGGTTTCCATGTTTCCTGCTGTTTTGCCTTCACCAGTCAGTCTCTCTGTGTGCACATACAGAGTGCACACACACATAGCTGCAGCAATGAAGCGCCCATGTAAGGTCCAACTATGAGATGCTATCCACTGCTGTCTGAACACAAAACCGTAAACCCGCAAAGCTGCATGTCCTTACGCAAACCCCCAACCCAGAACCCAACTTTGATCAGCCGGAGAGTCCCCAGGTGGCAGTGCGAATGCCAGCTGCTTCCGTCTGGGTGGGATGAGGCGGATCGCTTGCTCTGAGTTTGAAGCTTTCTCTTTAAGGCTGGAGACTTATTTACTTTGTTCCTTTTTTGGTTCGTGTCTTCTTTTATAGGGGTCTCCAAAGAAGTACCTTTTTGCTTACCCTCTAAGGGGAGTAGAGTTCTTATCACTGTTTGGTTGTGCTTTTGGTGTAGCCCGTGTTTCCCGAAATCAGTGGCATGTTGTGGCGGCCCTCACCTGCAAACCCCGAAGCATTAAAGGTCGAACACCCGGCTGTGCCGTCCCGGAACACGAGGAGTAGACATTTTCTATTCAAGCCCCTTTGAAATCCGAAGCCTGAAAGCCTTACGCCCGCAGCAGCTCTGCTGCTGTTATTCATTTCAAATGCTGACCAGTCCGGCTGCGCTCCGGTGGCTAACCTTGACAGGCAGACTTGCTCAGCTGCAGCCCAAAACCCAAAACCCAAACGCCTGAATCGAACTCGACAGCACCCCTTCCATCCTGTCGCATCCTTGGAGGCAGACGGCTGCGAGTCCGAGAGTGAAATCGCAAGGGCCTTTACGATGGTGCAGGGCAGTTCGGGTTCAAGGCAGTTCAAGGTTTAGGGTTTCGAGGATCCCTTCAGACCGAGAAGAGCGGGTCAGAATAAGATGCCCATGTCAGCAGGAAGTTATAAGGCGATCCTCGCTTTTTGTAGTACTTGTTCGATTGGACTGCCGTCAAGGCCTTCCTGCCGCGCACCCCCACTGCGAAGAAACCAGACTCCCGGCAGCAGCGCGGAAGATCGCCGACATCCTGAGCAGTGTTTTCTGGAATTGCTTCTCACCAATCTGACTGGGTACTGGTGAGGACTGGGCCATAGAAGGCGAATACCAGATGTGTCGAGCGCCCGGTTGAGCCACCAGTTAGCACGTGGAGTGACATCTCGAGTTTTCTGCAGGCTGGATTCTGGAGCCAGCCTGGTCATTGCGTCCGCGGCACAGTGCGCAGCTCTTTGCATTCACATCTCCACCATCTGCGAGCTCCGCTCAGGTAAGCCGAGACGCAGGACGTATTGGCCAAAGGCCGGCGGATCGAAAGACTTCCCTGAACTGCCGAAGCTGAAGTTTAAGCAGGTGATCGGAGGGTCGTTTTGGGTATTGGGCGGTTCGCCAAACTACGTTGTTGTTGATTCTAGAAATAATTCTTCTAAGGAATCGCATGAAGAAGGCGTCGATGCGGTGTAGTCTTTTGTCGGTCAGGGTAAAGGCGTCCAGGCCGTACGTAAGGACCGGTGTGAAGACGGCTAAAACCAGTTTAATGTTACGTTGCTTGGACATCGAGCTATTCCAGGCTAGTCGCAGTTTCTTGTAAGCGGCTTCGGCTAAAGCCATGCGGTGTTTAAGTGCTATTTCGCAAGAGTTCGTCCAGAAAGCCAAGCCATCGAACCTAAGTACTTAACCTGCGTTGTGGTCGGAACAAGGCTGCCATCCGCGAATTTTACAACAGGAGGGTCTTTGTTGGGGTGGTATATGAGTTCGGTTTTTTCTTTGTTCAGGGACATGCCGTATAGGAGAGCCTGGTCTTCAATGGCACGCAGGATATGGGAAAGTTGCGTTGTGGTCACTGAGAGTAACAGCGTGTTGTCGGCATACTCAATATCGTGGACAGGATGTGATACTGACCAAGAATTGAGGGGAACGCCTTTAATGAGTAGGTCGGCATCTGCATCGTGTAAGAGTACCGTGAGTACCATGACGAACAAGTAGGGACTTAGGGGGCAACCCTGGCGGATACCGGAGCCCACAGAGCCCTCACTAGAGTGTCCCAAGGGGCCCTTAGTAGTGAACTGCGCGTTGTGGTAAAGCGATTCGATGACTCCCAGAGTGTTGTGGGAAAGACCGAATCTCCTAAGGGCAATGAGCATGGCGTTGTGGTCAATTGAATCAAAAGCTTGTTTCCATCGGTGAAAAGCAAGTGTAATGAGTTTCCAGTTTGTTCTGAAACATACACGACTATATCGCGGTAGGCTTAGAAGGTTGAACACTTCCTTCTTCCCAGGCCGACCCAGAATTTTTTGAACCAGATGAGGCCGCGCTGCCGGCGGCTTCTTTAGTTTGGGCTTGGGGTTCGGGGCTTAGGATTTAGTGCACTTGGGGCACTCAGGGCACAGTTTGCGGTAACCAGGGCACTTAGGGTTGAAGGGCACTTAGGGTTGAAGGGCACTTAGGGTTGAAGGGCACTTGCTGTCAGGTTTAGGGTTTAGGGCACTGGAGGGGCTGTGGCAAATCCTCCAAGGTTCCCCAAGTTGTAGGGCCATGGTGGTTTGGCTATCCATCTTCTCCGAAGTATTTTTAACGGCCCCAAGCACGTTAATCCATCCAGGTTCTCTTTGGAGATGATGCTGTAGAAATACAGGAAGTAGCGATATTGTTCCTCACGGTTTCTAGCGATAATCATGATTGATCTATGATCTAGCCCAAAACCCTGTTCTGATTATGAAGGCCCCTCATGATCCCCGTGTCTCAAACCCCATGGGAGTCCAGACCCTCACCCAAAGATCCGTCACAGGCCATGACCTCCAGCTCACGCAACAAGCTTGCTCTTTGTTAGGGTTCGGGTCTTTGCGGCTCTATGAGTTACCCAGAGAACCCAATACCCCTTAATTAAGGAACATACCTTAAATCATAATAGTAAGGCCCCTATAATTTAAGGTGTATTCCTTAATTAGGGACTGTTGGGTTTTATGAGTTACATAAGCCCTTTGAGCGTTTGGCCGGTGGCCCACTTCTTGGGCTGCTCCGATGATCTACACTCTGCAATAACTGAACCCTGAGCAACAGCACTGCAGAAGAGCGTGGCTCAGAGGCTTCAACAACCTGAAGTCTGAGTCAACAGTTTACCTCCAGCTGACGCTTCGATGTTAGGCCCCCAATGCTCTCGCGGAGGGGGGTTTTTTGTTCCCAACAGCCTCACAAAAAAGATACTTCCAAACAGCCCCGAGTCCTCAAGTTTAAATATGCCTCTATAGTTTCAGGGATTTGACTCAAGTTCAAGGCGTCCCGAAGCTGTTGGGTGCTGAAACATGTGATGAATCCTCAAGACATCTGCGCCTCAGTCGGAGACCGAAACTGTGGACTCCCTGACGGGGCAGCTTGGCACCCAGGGTGTAGGCTGGTGGGCTGAAGATTTAGAGCTTTGGAATGCTGCGCCACATACCCTGACACATCACAATTCTCGAGGATACTAGAGCTTTGAGAATCGCTTCAAGCAAAAGGCCCAAACTCTCTTGACCATGTACTCCATATAGCCTAAGCCATGGTTATGCACTGGTGATCCATTCCGTGTTGCGTTTGCTTCAATCCTGATCTGAACACTTCAAAAGCCCTAAACCCTAAACCCTAAACCCTAGACCTATGAACTCTGGCGGAGTTTCACCGCCAGATGCTTTGGAGGCTTAGGCTGCAGGGCTCGAGCTGCCAGTTTTGCACAAAGAGTGTCCGAGAGTCCCACACCCCGTCATGCCGGAATATTTCTCCACTTTACTCTCGTGGGGTTTCTGGAATATGATTTACGGAGTTTTTGTTAAAGGTATGGGAGCATTTGGCGCAGTCTGGCCGCATGCCTTAAAAAAAGGGATTTACTGATCAGGGGGGTCCATCCTGAACGTAAAACTCTAAACATCATAAGCTAGCAGCTAGCGGTGCCATGGAAGCCCTGAGTTAACTTGGCTGGTTGCAAGTCCGAAGCTGGGTTTTGGGTAGTCCAGGCGGTCTGGTGGGCAACTGTGGAAGAGGAGCGGTGAGTAAGACAGACATCAAGGGAGCCTCCACGACTCGATGATAATGATGTTGATGATGGCACTGACTGATGAGTTGCTGCATGTTTTCGACGGTTTAGGGTTTAGGGTCTAGGGATGACACTGGCAACGGTGATGAGGACAGTGATTGCAGCAGGACGGACTGCGGCGACCAAATTCAATAGCTCCACACACAGAATGAAGCGGATATCAGTACACCAGCGGAGAGAACCGGAAGCATTCCAATTCCCTCCCCACTCCGATTGGAGGCCTGGGCTTAGCAACTTCCCACTGGTCTCAGTGTTGTCTAGGGCACGACAAAACTTAGATATGTTGGACTGGTAGTTCAAGTTAACTAGCTCCCATAACTCCCGTGCCAAGATCGGCATCTGTCGAGAAGATCGACGTCCAGGCACACAAGGGTTCCATGGGATGTTCGCAAGAAGTGGTAGCGGTTTGCTTGTGGGACTATGTAAAGTTTTGCGTGTGGATCTGGAGTTTTCTCTGTAATTTTGGTGTTTTTGTTCTCTTCAGGTACCTGCTTCCTTCCCATTCCTTTTTTGCTGCACCGTCTGTTTCTGAGGTCCGGTGCTATGGTAAACCTCCGTACAATTATCAGGAGTTTGACAACCTTGTGTAACCCCTGTCGCTAGGTTCCGCTTTGGCATCCGGGACTACGTAGTAGTGGGTATGTCGGCTCTACCCAAAATCCGAAGTTCCCGTTAAGAGCGCCTTCAGGGCCCGGGCTTGGGGTTTATGGGGTGTTGGCTTTCGATCCGGAGATTCTCGAAGTCTTGGGGGTCTGTGAGGTTCTGCAGTGCAGATTCAGAAGGCTTCGCGCGACGACTGTCGCGCTACTGTCTGGCAAGTCTCTGCTGAGCTGGAGTCGCCCAGATATCATGACATCCCAGATGCGTGCCCCAGGCAATGGAGGAGCGCTCCTCCACCAGGACAGCGGTTTTCTTCAGCCCTTTCTCAAGGTGTGTGGTGCGTCGTAGGAAGCGCCTGAAATTCTGCATCGTGCTCTGCCCCACGCCCTCCCTCCCCCAAAAAAGCTCGAAGAGCCCAGAGGCCAATCGCTCCAGGGCTGATGGCCAGACTGTTGCAGGCGAGGTAGTTGGGTTTGGAGCCGTTTTGATAGGGCACTTCCCTTGCCGGGATGCGTGGATAGACCCGTGAAAGGTTGTGATGTGTAAGCCTTCAGGGTACTGGACATGGACGGGTGCCGAGAGAAGGTGCATTCAGTGTCTTGTTAAGTAACTCAATTGAATCTGCGGCGAAACGGTGTGTATATACTGTTTGTGGATGACACACCACTGTTCTGGTATCTTCGAATCCACTAAACTCTTCAGAAGAAGGCCCAGGGCTACGCAAGGCTTCGAGCCTTTTCAGAATTACGTCGACCATGGGACCAAGCCAGGAACATGTCTAGGATGGGCTTCGTGAACCGTGAAGCCTATGATGAACTGGACATCCAGAGGCCAAACCTTGAGGCCTTGCCCTAAACCCGAAGCCCTTGACCTTGAAGCCTAAAGCGTAAAATCCCGAATCTTGAACTTTAAATCGCAACCCTCCAAACCCTAAACGTGCAGCCCCAAACGAACAACTTTCCGAGAGGCTCTCGGCGGAGTTTGCAGCTGCCTTTGCAACGTCTGAGCTTTTGTTGTTATGATTACGCTTGCAATTAGTATTGTCACTTCTGCTATTAAAAGTGTTATTCTCTGTATCGAGCCATACATAATACATACATGCACGCACACAGAGAGACACACCCATATCTATCTATCTATCTATACCAGTAAGTTCGTCGGCATACTTTTTTCTATTCCGCCGATTCGGCTTAGAATTTTCCTGCGTCGCAAAAGTATGCAGCGCTTCACCCTTGAATAAACCCTGGCGCCGCAAAAAGTATGCCGGGATCTACCTCTCAAACAGCCTGCGGAAAAAGTAAGCCGAGCGGGGAAAGTATGCCAGTACGCCCTGGTTCGGGTTGCGTACGGGTAAAAGGTGAAATCTGAGTACGGCTTTTTTTCGACATTGGTTCACGTTGTTACGCTTTGGGTTCGGGTACGGTTTTCAGTACGGGTTTGTTTTCACAATTTTTTTCACCATCGGGGGTCCCAGCACCCTGAAAAAGTAAACCTGGCCGATCGGAAAAAGTAAACCCAGCCGCGCCCCCAAAAAGCCCCCGCAGCCAGGAAACAAAAAACAACCCAGCGGGAAAAGTACACCAAACCCTCGAACATAAAAAAGTAATCCAGCATAGAATGTACACCAAATTAATAAATTCTAGATATTTTCCTCGGAATGAAAAAAAGTAGACACACGCACTTGCTGCTATGTACATATATGTACATATATACCAAGCCCCTCCGACGACCCTCAATTTGAGAACCAGGGTAAGGGGCTCCAAATCGAAGGCACCAAGGAAACACACAAAACAAAGGCACTTGTAGATACCCCCTTGTTGTTGTTCAGCCATATTAGCATACATCTAGCATATGAGCAATGGTGCAGTCTGTGCCCTTAAACCTCCCAGCACTTGGATTTTGGACAGGATCGGGATGTTGGAGCTTGCATGCATGCATGCATTGTATACCATGGTACGTGCATGTTCTGCATGCACCACACTTGCGATATAATATATACATATATGGATCGGCGACGGGCACCGCTGCAGCTGGAACTGACTCGACTTTTGGCCGCGCTGGCTCGCTTGCACATGCATGTTCACCGCCATCGGTTTTCGGTGAGACACCTGAGCCACCTCGTGCATGTGTATGCACAGTAGCGGTCAAGTACTTGCCTGCCCAACTGGTCTGGGCTGCTTAAGACTGCAAGTCGTTTGACTTTGCCGACCTGGAAGGGGTGGCACGATCAAGCAAAGAACATTGCATAGGAGATGCTCATGATGGATTGTCTGAAATGCAGCCATGAAGCAGCGTCTTCATCGACATAAGTCGACAGCATCATCGGGCTGATGCGGGGGGCCACATCGAGACAAATATGATCTGCCCTCGGCACATGCACATTAAGTCGCGGCATTGTTTATAAATTAGCAACTTCGCAATGCAGCTCTGCAGCTTGTGCAGCTTCGGTCGCAGTTTCCACAAAAGCTGTCGTTCCGCTATGGCCTGCGTGGCCAAACCTTCAGATAGTTAGGGATAGATAGCATATGACACGTACAGCTAATGGCGCCTCGGCATACAGCTAATAAAGCTGGGGATCTGACAATTCAGGGCTGCATGGAACAAGAGGTTCGCTCGCTGCAGCTTACGAACATTTGCATCAGACAAAGTCGCATGCTGATTGCCATACTTGTCGATGGAGATTGCTTCTCTCATGTCCACCAGGTTACAAAACACAGCAGGAGTTTTCACGATATGTATTCATTCACGCAACATTCCAGTTGAACCCAGGCACGCCGCATGCTCATCACCGGGATTCGCAGCAGCCACACGAAGTGTCACACCCATCAACCACTTGGCTAGGATGAAGGCTTCCTGAAGCAATAGGCCATGGGTCGCATTCATGCACAGTAGTACGTTTTGTGAGTACTGGGGCGTTCGCTGCTCCATTGAGGTGTTTCTGCGCGATCGAAGGGAAATCGCTTCCATGTCCAATGTGCTTCCTAAGCTATGCATACATCATACATTGTTCATGAATTCTATACCGAGTTGCCAGAGGCTTGCATCATAAATCCAAGTGGCCGTGAAAAGATTTTGCCACGATTTCCTCAGTGTGACAGTCGAGCGGATCATATATAGGTACTACATGATCTGAAGAAGATCCATAGAGCAGGCTGGTCTCTCACTTTGTTCGCTTTACATTCAGCAGCGAAACACATGTAAGCATGGCGGAGGCGTTCATCTTGGTCGGAGCCCGGCCAAACTTCGGAGGTTTCCGATAGTTCAAGAAGTGCCTCGGGCCAAAGCCATCCAAAATCCAAACCCTGGCTATGCAAAGATTTTTGTGGTGCACTTAGCAAACAAGAACATATGGGTCCAGCACAGATCCGCATGCATCGGGCACAATGGCCAAGTCCATGACGTGGAGCCAATCTCCGCAGACCATTGATACATGGAAGCCTGGATATCGGATAAAAGGGTTGTCTCGGCATCCGAACCGGATAAAGTCCGCAGTGTTGAACATCCTTAGGTCGGTCCTTTATCGCTTCATCATATGGGCATAATGCATGCCAAAGTTGCAGTTCAAGGCACGTTTGACGATGTGGGGCTGAGGCCCCATGGTGGGTGTAGAGGAGCGGCGATTGTGAATCAGTGTTTGCCTCCACCAGTAGCTAGCAGAATAGCAATAGGGTGAGTAGCAGACCCAGGCCTGGCAGATGAAGCAGATATTCTTGCTTGTAGCAGAATTCACCATGCCATATACTTTTTGTAAGTACTTCTCGTCTCCTTTGTGGAATACAAGTACAGCACGCCAGCCATCTGCAATAGGCCCGGATTTTCCACCTCAGTATAGTTTGCATCGCATGCCGACATAAATCAGTACAATGCATGGCACAGCACAGAGAGAGAGAGAGAGAGAGAGAGAGAGAGAGAGAGAGAGAGAGCGAATGCATGGCCGAGTCGCGGTTTGGAAAGGGGTTCCCCCATGGATCCACATCAAGATAGTGGCCCAGTAGCAGCTCCACCAGCGACCAAATCAGCCATTGGTCAAGCACAGCATATGTCTCAGCACAACACTGACTGTTGTCCCCGGCATACACTACCAGCTTGGAGTCCCAGGGGCTTGCGTGAACTACAAGCGAGCCCCACGTCACTACCATAAACGATCTTCGACGGTGGCATTCTGCGTCGTCGCCATGAATCACAAGCGGTATTGTTCGGGTCAGATCCAAGTCCTGGACTGGTTGGTTGGCTTGCACCCAACGGGCTGCAGCCACATATTTTTTGTTATACACATGGGAGATTCAAAGCATGCCAGGGCACTGCGAGGTAGGGGTTGTCTTTGAACCATGCTGTAGATTTGTTCTTGTCCCAGAAATCTTCCATAGCCTCAGCTGCTGCGCATATAGACCAACTATCATGACAGGTGTGGCGATGCGAATCTGCAGACATCAGGCAGGCGAGGGGCTCCATCTTTGCCTCGCAGCAGCCTTTTGAATAGGCGCTTGTCATAGGCATAGATTGATCCAAACCTGATGCTAGCTTGAGCCCATTTCAAAAACCCAACAGTACCCCTTAAGGTCATACCAAGCAGCGTTTCACTGGGCAGCAGCATGTGCCACTTGCTGAGGTAATGGGGCTGTGGTTGCTTAGGGTCCACCTTAGTCGGGTTTATAGTGTCAGGGTCTACACAAAGCTGCACCAGATTGAGGATTGATATGGCTAAGGTCAGGGCAAGTACCACCTCGACCCTTATTGGTTCAGGCTGAAGTTCGAGTTTTGACACAACAGCAAAAATAGTTGAGCTTTCGGTTTAACATACATAGCGGTCTGCATGTCTACTAATTCAAAGATGAGTTTCTCACGAGGCAGCGGCAACATTTGCCGCCAAGGTTGTCGTTGCATCCATCTCCAGAAAGTTCGCACCTGGTTCTTCGAATCTTTTGAGAGGCGGTCGCAAAGATCACATAGATTGTACCTGGGGCGAGCTCTTCCCAACCCCTGTTTGAGCAATTTAGCAGAAGGTCGTGGATCCTGATGTTCAGTCTGAGAGTCGGCAACAGTCTGCGTGGGAATCGCCGGTGTATGACTCGTAGCATACTCATCAATGTTTCGACACTGACCTATGAGGCTATGGCCGAGAGCATATACTGGGTGATTGAAAATTCACTTGACATGGGGCACATGACCATTGCAGATAAGACACTTGCTTGCCTAGCTCCACAAACTCCTCTACGATATCCATAGTCACCGATGGCTTGGATTACCTGCAAGCTGATTTCAGTGCCAGCAAGATCGAGGTTCCTGAAACGACCGACGGAATGACAGAATGAACTAAAGCACGATACGATCATCTCTTCCCGGCAAAAGCAGGCTTCCGATCCGACAGAATCCATCGCGACATGTGGCTGTCTCAGAGGTTGATAGGGCCATTACGAATTTTGGAGTGTTTTAGGCTTCTGGGATTTGGGTTTCTCGGGCAGTCCAGAAAGCACTGTTGACCCCCACATGCATGCCATCACACTTATGATTAAGGGTTTGGGGTTTTGGGGTCGGGCCGACATTCCAGTCCCCTTGCTACTGCATGGCAGATCATGTCGGTGTTTGCATTGGATCCAGGCCAAGTGTCATGCCACAAGTCCTGCAGAACTCAAGTGAGTCCGGATCCTTTTGCCTCGCTGGCACAGCTCGATCCCGTCCTCCCCGGAGCAATGATGCGTGTATGTAGACATTGCCCAGGCCCTAATCCAGACCCTCCTGCGACCCTACATCTATATACCCGTTCTGCTAGACCTATATAAATCTCAAGCTCCTATATGTATGCAAGGACAGGCAAGAAGGGTCCGGTTCCCCCAGCTTGTGCTAGAGCACGTACCATGTTCCAGAACAGATCCGAGGCTTCGGGCTTTAGGCTCTTAGGGGTATAGCTTCGGATCGGGGTAGGTGTGTATATATATATATACACATACATATATTAGCTATACATTAGGTTTTGGTGGTAAAGCTTTGAGGTTTTGGGGTTCGTTGACCTCAGAACTTATTCACGGCAGATGCTCTAGCAGCGTCACACAAACACAAGTCGCCATTGCAACAGCAGGCACAACCAATCTTAAGAGTCCTACAGGTTTCCAAACTTCATCGCTGTACAATGGGCACTAAGCACTGCTCTAGTACCTGCATGATGCATCTAAGGCGATTGTGTGTAGGTGACAGACTATCGGATATTGGTTGGAGAAAACCATCACTCATCCACATCATCTTCCTCGTCGTCATCCTCCCCCTCCTCTTGCTCGTCATCTTCATCTTCATCATCTGGCAGGTCGGAACTTCTTTTCTTGGCCGCCTCTTCTGCGGCTTTCTTGTTCTTTGCTTTGACAACATTGATTCTCCGGGCGGCTTCGCGGATGTCTGCATCAACAGTCTGAACGAACGTATGATTGTCGTCCAACCATAGCTGCCAGTTATCCACATCGGGAGCACATTCCGATTTTGCCTTCGTTTCTTGCCATAGCTCCAACACCCGAGGCTCGTGGGACTCCAGAGTCTCGACCTGGCACGAACTAAATCGATCATAGATCGAAATCCCAGCACTAGGTTTCCAATTAGACACATTGCCACTGAGTTGAGTGCGAGCTCCGACGAGTTCCGGATCTTCAAGCCTTGGATCTCGAGGACTTTCGCCGGGATGGACTTCTGGATGCCTTCAAGCCTCGCACATGTATGCAGTCGTGGAACCATGGTGCAGATTATTGAGAAATGGGGACGGCACCTGGTCACGAGGGCCTTCATGTCTTTCACAATTTGCTTCTCCGGGGGAAGGGACTTCTTGATTTTCCTGGACGGGTCTCACATACAGCAGTGTAAGACCTCAGCTATTCACAGATCCGAGAGTCTTGGATGCAATCTTGCCAGTCTTCAGGTCGACGAAGGAGGTATTGTCTAGTGCGGCAAGCTCTGGACCAAGCTGTTTTGCGAGTAATCGTTTTGCCGAAGCTTCGTTTACTCTGCCTCCAAGTTTGACCTTAGATGTACAGCTGGGATATCACGATAGGCCCAAGAGACACAACCCTAGCACCCTAAGCACAACCCCCAAGCACGGACAAGCAACATTGGAGGATCCCGAAGTGCCACTCTGATTCTCCTCCACTATCTCCTTCAGGACCTTGTACATCTTGGCTTTGGCCACCGTTGGCGCCTGAGGCAATGGATGGGGTATGATGGGGTGATTAATATACGGGGCTCCAAAATGACATGTTGTATGAGCAGTTAAGAACCATGCTTCCCCAGCTGGCCTGGGGATGTGGCGTCCCAGTTTGCCCTCAAAAAGGCGTGTTCATGTCTTGAAGCTTTGTACAATTATCTGCTGCAGCAAGTAAGCATGTACCCAAGCCAAGAGGCCCTTTATGAGGGCCTCGATGAAGGCCGTAGACTCCTCCGAGGTGCCATAGATTTTCTCCAATTGGAATATCGTAACCTGAGTTAAGTCGGATTTACCCTAGGGGGTTTACATTAATTTAAATCATCGACTGCATGAAATGCATGCAAAGGTGCCGTGACGTAACGGTCAGACCGCAAGTTGTTGACGAAGGTCTGGAAGCGCTCTTCGATTTCTATGGCCCCCACCCCTTCATTCACCAGAAACGACTTGAGCATCCCAAACCTGACTGCATGTTTGAGTCTTGCTAGACGATAGATGTATGTTGCTACATGCAGTGCAAGTAATGAGTGCATGCATAGGTACCGATCCCCATCTGAACACAAAGAGAACTTGGCCGTCAAAGCTGGGTTGTTCTTCTTCAAGATTGCACGTCGGAGTGCAGCGTATTGGGGCTTCCTCTCCTTGTAGGGCATTTCCTGGCAGCAGACTATACTAGGTTGTATCGGCCGAGAGCTTATTAAGCAAACCATGCATATAAACATTGCAGATTCTAGATCGGAAGGGCCTTGCAGCTGCACATATGGGATATGGCATCCTTTTCCTCCTCGGAAAAGACCCTCTTACGGTCTTGCTTCCCCTCAGGGGTGTCGCCATCCTCGGACCCAAAGAAAACACTTGCAAGGGTGTCCTGCCTGTGAGGAGCATTCCTCCTTGGGGCTTCGGGCTTGGTAGCAGATGGTGTTTCCTGAAATGTGTGGGCCTTCCTGATGGCAGGGCTCGGGGTATGTTCTTCCCGGGGTCCACTTGGCTGCCTGCATGGAGTCGCTGCTTTGGCATCAGGAGCAGCACCCGCCGAGCTGAACTCCTGCAGGAGCAGAGGCCACAAGGGCAGGGATATTTTCTTAATGTAGACTAAGGGGTATAAAGGGCAGTCTATTATATCAAAACCCTATAAGCCCTAGCTATAAGTTAATGAGTTTAGGCAGCCTCGTCTGCAGTCTTGCGGCGCTTGTCCGTGCATGATTGAAGGGGTTCACCCTGGCGTTTTGAATCCTTTGTCGTCTCGGCTTTCGGGCTGACTTTGCGAGCTGCTGCATCGGAAGCTGGATTCGTCGATCCATCCTTCTTCTCCTTGTTGGCTTTCGGGCTGCGGCTGCGAGCTGCTGCTTCCTTTGTCGATCCATCCTTCTTCTCCTTCTTCTCCTTGTTGGCTTTCGGGCTGCGGCTGCGAGCTGCTGCTGGCTTTGTCGATCCATCCTTCTTCTCCTTCTTCTCCTTGTTGGCTTTCGGGCTGGGGCTGTGAGCTGCTGCTTGCTTTGTCGATCCATCCTTCTTCTCCTTCTTCTCCTTGGCGCCTCCCCGGCTGGTGCTGTGAGTTGCTGGTTCCTTGCTGTCTGTGGAGCTGGGGTCGTGAACTTTCGTTGACTCCTTCTTCTCCTTCTTGGCTTTCGGGCTGTGGCTGCGAGCTGCTGCTGGCTTTGCTGATCCATCCCGGTGGTCCTTCTTCTCCTTCTTGCCTTTCGGGCTGGGGTTGCGAACTGCTGGCGCCTCGGAAACGGCCGTGGGAGCTGCCTCTCTTGATCGATGCTCGGCTCGTTCTCGTGATCTTCCCCGGTTCTTCTTGGAATGCTTCTCCTAGGCAACATGTAGGATTTGAATTATACAGGATTGCACTTGTATATAGATAAGGATTACATATACCATGGCAGGGTTCAGCGGCATCGGCGTCTATTATCATGCTGGTACTACTACTACTACTACTACTACTACTACTACTACTACTACTACTACTACTACTACTACTACTACTACTACTACTACTACTACTACTACTACTACTACTACTACTACTACTACTACTACTACTACTACTACTACTACTACTACTACTACTACTACTACTACTACTACTACTACTACTACTACTACTACTACTACTACTGCTACTACTACTGCTACTGCTACTACTACTACTACTACTACTACTACTACTACTACTACTACTACTACTACTACTACTACTACTACTACTACTACTACTACTACTACTACTACTACTACTACTACTACTATCTCTATAACTAAAGACAACTCCAATCTTCCTGAACCCAAGTCCCCGGATATGCAGAGGCCTCCTGTGCTGGGATTGATCCGTCCCGGCCGCTGTTGTCCTGATTGCAGGAATCTTATAGGTTTTAGGGCTTTAATTTAGGGTTTAGGGCACTTTGATCTAGCTGGTTATAGGAAATTAAACTTCAAGCTCGTGCACCTTGCGTTTTCTCTCTTCCTGCTGCTTCCTCTGGGGCTTGGGTGCCTCAGCTCTTGATGGATCCCGGGAGTGCTTGTGCTGGTCGTCGGCAGGTGGTGCTCTTGATCCTCCCCGGTCCTTGGTCCTGTTCTTCTCATCCTTTGCTTGGGGGCTTCTTGCTCGCTCCTTTGTGTGCTCGTGCTGTTGTTTTTGCCTCTTACGGCCTTCCTCATCAGCTGCTGCCTCCCTCTTCTTTCTTGCATTCTCTGCAAGAACCATCTTTAGCTTTGCTGCTGGAGACATTACCTTTTGCTTTCCAGTGATCCGGAGTTTCACGGGTGCACCTCGCATGCTGCATGCAGATATATTATGTGTGCATATTGATCGATTATATGATCCTCGATCCCGGCCTCGATGCATGGCAAAGCCTTCGAAATGAAGGCAGGATGAGTAATACTGTCTGCCAAATGGCTACGTAGCAACCTGTAGCGTGACGTGGGCCTCCCGACACGCAAAAGAAAAGATCCTGTGACCAAGGCCGACCCCTGACACGAACTGACACGCAATGACACGCTCTCGCGTAGCCCTGTAGACATACAAGTGCCCTCAATTCGTGTACGTGCTCTCTATTTGGAGGCACTTGTAACAGGGCTGACACGCAATGACACGCAGTGACACGCAGCGTTCCGGCAACTTTTGCTCCATGGCCCATTGGACCCCTTGCAGGCCATTTGGAGCCCTGTTCAGCGGGTGAAGGAGGCCTGGGTCACCGGAATTGCTTCTACAGGGAGTTTCCTCTAGTGGATAGCCAGGATCGGTATCGCTCCGTAGGAGAAGGGCTGTTTCTATATCGAGATGATCTAGATCGTTATTGCAATGGTGACCATGCATTCCATCCCCCGATCACTATCGAAGAGCCCGCCATCGGCAACGTCTCTTCATCAGATCATCCAAGGATTCATCACTGCTGCTGTCACAGATGTCTTCCACACTTCGAGCAGGACAGCTTGCAGCTGCCGGCACCAGTGCTTGAACAGCAAATCCGAACCCCATCGGATATGTGGCGGACTCCTTCAAAGCCTTGTTGACACCGTACACTCGCATGCGCCCACTCTTGTCAGCTTTGCGCTTGACTAGCTTCTTGGAACCCTTCCTAGGCTCTGACAAACATGCAATTATGCAGTCAGGCGATTGCACAAACACCGCCACACAGCCTCCCGGCCCACTGCCCTACATATATATTGCCAAGCTTCAGCTGGAGCTTCAGTTTCTTGAACGGAATAGATCGTGCCAAGCTTTCGGCTCGTGGCAAAGTACTATAGATCCTGGGCGGGTTTGCTGTGGAGTTCTTGGGGCAGCATGCATTTGGAAGGGCACAATCTATGCATGTATGCAGCCAGGCAACACTGTCATCTTCAATGTTTCAGCCCCATAGGCACCCATCGGGAAAACAATCCTCCTATCGATCAGGCAGAAATCATTGAACACATCTACGATCTACAGACCTTGTGCTTGGACAGGTGAAAGACCATTACTGCCATGTATACACTTGTGTTTTAGCTGGAATGCAGAAGTCATGTACGATAAGTATACTTCCATAGTTATCAGAAATCCAAGCAATAGTTGAGTAATGAATGACACAGGTCTACTGGCTGTCTGCCGCCTGGCACCACATCGACGGAGGAGGCGCTCAATTGGGCGAAAGTAGAAAAGTACCTGATCATGCCATGTGTGCACACACACACACGACCCAAGCCTGACCCTGTAACAGAAGTCCTAAATGAGGCTGTCACCGAGGACAGTGGCTGTTCGATCAAGAAGAAAATCCCCAGGCTCCAGGCATAGGCGATCCTGATTCAGATAGGTTCTGCTGGTTGTTTTCACACTCATCGACCCACTGCCAGTATAGTATATGCATGTGAGGCACACATAGCATATTCGGCGTGCCAATATATTGGCTAGCCGCACCTTTGCCTTCGACTCGTCTCCCTGCGGCTGCTCCTTGGACCTTGCTGTCGCTCCTGAAGACCTCATCCCAAGCTTGTGAAATCACTCACGATTTGCCCATTATATCGAGTGTTAATATATGTGCATGTATGTGGTTTCATGGCTAGCTCTCCCTCTCTCTCTCTCTCTCTCTCTCTCTCTCTCTCTCTCTCTCTCTCTCTCTCTCTCTCTCTCTCTCTCTCTCTCTCTCTCTCTCTCTCTCTCTCTCTCTCGCTCTCTCTCTCACTAGCTAGCGCACTGTCTCTCCCTATCTCTCTCTCTCTCTCTCTCTCTCTCTCTCTCTCTCTCTCTCTCTCTCTCTCTCTCTCTCTCTCTCTCTCTCTCTCTCTCTCTCTCTCTCTCTCTCTCTCTCTCTCTCTCTCTCTCTCTCTCGCATTGACCCACACCTTATAAACACTCTCACGACAGATTGTGACAGGGAGCATCCACACCCAGGGACCACACGGCGGAGCCAGCACCAATAGCCCACCAGGTCGGGTATTGCGGACCTATGTCTATAGGGTTTAGGCCTAAGTTTAGGGCTTAGGGGCCAGAGCTTCGATCGATCCAGGTTTATCGAGAGAGAGAGAGAGAGAGAGAGAGAGAGAGAGAGAGACAGCGAGAGAGAGCGAGCACGAGAGAGAGAGAGAGAGAGAGACAGAGAGACAGAGAGAGAGAGAGAGAGAGAGAGAGCACGAGAGAGAGAGAGAGAGAGAGTGATATTGTGTGTGAGAGAGAGAGGGAGGGAGGGGGGTAAAGAAAGCGTCGAGCCAAGACTCTGCTGCCAGCAAGAGGATGAGGCCGGTGGTTCGAAAGATGTCAAAATTCTTCGAATATTGCACCTGAGCTTGTCGCTTCGAACGGTTGAGCTAGAAGTCTAGGAACTTGATGATAGTATAGCCTGGGAACATCCATTGCCACACCCTTGAGTCCCGACTCTCGCATAGCCGTGGTGAGGTTGGCTGAGCCACTGAATGCTTCAACCTTATTGACCCAAGCCGCACACTGTGCAAGCATTCATGCAGACTTGCAGACACCAATCCAAGAGAAAACGACCCCATCATGCAAGCAACAAAGTCATTCGGTACATCGGCGGGTGGCAGATTTTCCACCGAAGACATCATGCGACGTAGATATTTCACCTTCATACCCCTGGCACCAGGAAACTTGCTGCTGAGCCGGCTGCACCCTGCAGAGGCACAGTCAATGCATGTATCACCCCGACAATGCACACGAGCT